TGTCAGATATCATCTATACTTGTCCCATCTATGCCTCGTCCACACTGTGCCTCGACCCCACTGTGCTACCGTTTTTTTAATGTTGTTTTAGTTGATATTATGTATTTAATTAAATTATCTATGTTCTAATAAGTGATCATAGTTACACTAGCTTTTTTTTATTTAATAAAAAATATTTATACATTTTTCATAAACTATAGAGAATATATTCTTTCATGTACTTTGTACATAAAGAATGTCCTTTCATGTTCTGACATCTTTAATAACTTTTTATTCAGCAAATATTTTTCATTTCTTAATTAATTTTACAATTTTCGGACTAAAAAGTTTGTTGTAAAAAGTTGAAAACTAATTTTTAATAGAATTGAAAAAATTAAATAATGACAATTTTATATTTATACAGAAGGATTGTTTGTCGAACACCATTCGATTACTCTTGAAATCAATACAATATTAAAAAAAAAATTTGTAAATATAATTGTTGATTTATTAGCCTACAATTCCTTTTTAAAGTAACATTTAGGGACTAAATGTTATAAATATGTAAATTTTGTTACAATGTTATATAATGTAAATTTTTTTCGTGAAAATAATTGGAATCATTTGAATCTTATTATTATAATAATCGATAATGAATTAATGACTACTAATCGAATATTTAGTAACAGTGTGGGTGGTTTTTTATTTTAATCTAACAAAGAAAAATACTATGTAGATACACTGATGTATTAAGAAATTATAAAGCATATGTGATACAATCTATAATACGATGGGATAAGAGGAACTATCAGTAGAAAATTTTAATGAGGAATACAAATCTAATAGAAATGACTGATAAAGATAAACGGATAGACAAAATGCAAAAATAAAAAGATTTTTTGAAGCTAACGGTTAACCGTACTCCAATTTTCAATAATAAATATAATAAACCAAATTTCAATTATAATAAAAATAATAAGACACATTTCAATAAAGGTAATATGGCATATAATAACAAAAATAATTATAAAAAATTTAACTTATAATAATTATGATAAAATTCAAAGAAATTATTTTGACAATAATAGTTATAAGAATAACTGTACATACTAAAATTATAATAACACCAATAATAATAATATTGTAGACAAAAATGAAAGTAATTATAGGAATAATAACAATTTTAATAACATTATTAGATTTTTGAAAATAATCCAGGGACAAATTTTTATAACGGTGGCCAACAAAATAATTACAGTATGCAAAATCAATGACAACAGTTTAATATGGGGGCCCCTAGGTAATGGTAGCCACAGAGAAATGAAGACTCATAAGACATAATCCTGGGATTAGGACGAATTTTGACATCCATGGGCTACCTATCCAAAAAATACCGGTTCCCAATAATAACAAAAAGGAAGAGTAAGTCATCAGCAAACATAACTGTTGTTGTTTTATTGTAAGTAGAAATATCAGATGTATAAAGAAGATAAAGTATAGGCCCGAGGACACTACCTTGAGGTACCCCTGCTTTAATACCTTTCCATTCAGATACAGCTTCTTCGTGAATATAGTAAGCCTTCATGCCAAACGCGGTCAAAGGCCTGAGAAACGTCGAGAAAAACGACACAGCAATACTTTTTTCCTCCATAAGTCTACTAATTACGTTTGTAACGCGATGTACTTGATCTATGGTGGAATGTTTAGTACGAAATCTAAACTGGTGGTTATGAATTAGTTGACGTTCTTGAATAAAAGGATTACGGGCCTAACAACCCCGCGGACCCTAGTTATTTCAGTGGGGGTGGCAACACGTACCACTGCTCTTAGCCGGTCATGACTTTGATTAGTTGGGACCGGTAGGCCTGGGCATACCTGCTTGCTAACAGCGAATAGGCCCTCCTAACCCAGCCATACCAAGTGAAAGGGTTGCTAACTTGTCACAGGGTAGTTAGCCGAAAGGTAAAGTGACCATTGGGATCCTCTATGGCACCTGGCGCACCATAGAGTATACAGCCTTATCACAGTATCGAGCTCTGCTGTGACGGACCTTTATTTCTCGACTTCTCGTGGGAACTATATGGATAAAAACATAGAAAAACCACAAAACAACGAACTTGTGACGATCAGGGATCCTACGGACAACCTGTCGGAACAAGAGCGTGAACTAGCGATTCTTCGCAAAAGAATCGCTGTACTGGAAGGTCTCAATGCCAACAACGGGACTCTTGGTGAACCGTCTACTAGCAAAGAGACAGCAACGTCAACTAATGCAGACCAGGAGTCGCAAGATCAACTGGGAGCAGTAGCTGACAAAATCGAGGATCTAAAACGTAGACCCTCGGACAATAGAATTCAATTCACTCAGATAAACCTGCATCACAGTAAGGGGGCCAGTAGCGTGTTACTAAGGACCCTAACTGAGAGGCATACAACACCCTTACAAATAGCACTTATTCAGGAACCATGGATAAATGGGGACCAGATTAAGGGGCTAAATCTAAGGAATTTTAAACTGTTTCATAAACAAGCAGATAAACCAAGAACTTGCATTTTGGTTAATAATAGAGTTAAAGCCAGCCTGATACTTAATCTATCAAGTGCAGACTTGACTATTATTAGAGTAACACTAAATGATGGTAAAAACATTATAGTAGCTTCAGGATACTTACCATATGAGGTCACAGACCCAGGTAGGGACCTAACTATGCTCTTTAATTATTGCAAAAATGAAAAATTAGAACTAATCCTAGGTATGGATGCTAATGCACACCACACTATTTGGGGGAGCAGTAACATCAACCAAAGAGGAGAGGTTATAATGGATCTATTGCTGACTACAGACCTAAGTATACTGAACAGAGGTAGTGAACCTACTTTTGTTATCAGGAACAGGCAGGAAGTCATTGATCTAACAGTTTGTTCAAAAGGGTTACTTCAAAAGATAAAAGGGTGGAAAGTGTCCTCCGAACCTTCTCTTTCTGATCATAGGCACTTACGATTCACTTTGGAAATTAACAAAGTTGAGACGGAGTACTATAGGAACCCGAAAAGAACAAACTGGGACAAATACAGGGCAGATCTCTCTCGTGACCTGATTAACCTACAGTTTAGATTGGGGTCGAGACAGAGTACTGAAAGGGCTGTAAATATG